AGGCGCACCTTAGTCTCCAGAGAGACACCGTTGCTCTTGAGTACTTTAGAGAGGTCCCTAACCGCAGACTTTCCCATCACAATACGCTTTTTTATTTCCTGACTGCTGTGCCAAGAGTGTTGTTACTAGTAGTCAAGAAAAGAAAGATGTGTTGCATTGGGAAAATCTTTTTGTCAAGGTCCTCACCAAAGTACTAAAGAACAATAATTTCATTTTAAGGACTAAAGTACATCTGATCTAAACCACGGTTCTTTCAGTTACTTGCTATATATTTGAAATTTGAGAAATGAGAAGGATGACAGAGAATGAATTGGTGCCTTTGTGTTATGGTGTTTGAGGAGAGTGCCAAATTCCTTTATGGAAGGAATAAATATGTCTTGGCAGAAAAGTGCAACCAAGGTACTTCTTTGAGGCAAAGATGGTGAAGCTTTATCTCACATACTCTTGGCATGCTGTTAGGAGAGGCCAGTCTTCAGAAAAAGACATTATGCTTTGAAAGGTTGAGGTCATCTAAAGAAAGGATGAGCCTCAACAAGATGGATTGACATAGAGACTGGAACAATGGGCTCATGTATATAAGGACAGCACAGAATGAAGCAGGGGTCAGCTCTCTAGGTCATAGTGTCTCCAGGAGCCATCTTTAACTCTACAGCACCTAGCAATAACAACATTAGTCCTAGTCAACTTAAGAGCAACTAACAACAACCTCTTGACCTATATACATTTGACCGACCTGATCCCTCCCTCTTGGAAAATATTTTTAAGTGACTTCCAGGACACTACTCATTTAGTTTCCACTAAATTAACTAGCCACTTTTTCCTCATAAATTTCTCTTAATTCTTTTCCCTTAAACCCATTCACCCCATTCACTCCAGTTAATGGCAGCTCCATCTTTCTAGTAGTTTGAGCCTTGAAGTCTGCTTGCTTAGGTTTCAGTTGTAAATAATATAACTCTAAATACAGTAATACAGTATTAGTTGTAAATATAGGAATAGCTGTGAAAGTCAGAATCTGTATATGGTTGAGACCTAATGGAGAACGAGAACTAAAGTATTTCTACTAAAATAAACTAAGAATGCACCCTATCAAAGCCAGAAAAATTCCAAGAAGTCTTTGCTCCATCTCTGACGGTTTTTGTGGTAGTTAAATAGGTAAAGGGGCGTATTACAGGGCGAGGTCCCCGGTGGAGCTCTAATAGTCCATTGTACATTGTGATGAGTAGTCCACTGTAAGTTGTGATGATAACCAAAATGCTGTTGCATCCCTGGCGTTTGTACTGTCATCCCTAAGGCAGGTGGCTCGAATCCACCATGTTCTCTGAGGGAGAATGATGGACTGTCTCTTCCCATGTGTCTTAAAGCCTCTGAAAACCCTCTGTAGGGGTCAGCTGTGAGTTTGTTCTGAAGTGATGGTACACAACAACAGCAGCAATAATCTTTCTTACTTTCGCACTATGCAAAGGCACTGTAGGATGAAGATGAAAGAATTGTTGGGCCTGAAACTTTCCTCCGCCCTTTCCTCCTACGGTTAAACTTTAAAGTTCTCTGCTGTTATTGCTGTTGGTGCATGCTGTTGAGAGTCAGAACCGACCCATACCTGACCTTCCGGTGGTGTTTTCAGAGGCAGTAAATTGCATGGGAGGAGATTGTCTGTCCTTCTGTGGAGCAGCTGATGCATTCAGAGTGCCTGCCTTCAAGATTGCAGCACAGCTTCTAGGCTACTAGGACACTGGATAGTAATATAATCTCATTTTACTGAAAGCTCCAGTAACAGAAACTTATGCAAGCCAGAGACTTATTCCTATCATTTAAAAGTCTGATCTGATAGATGAATTTGAGAAAAAGAGCTTTAGCTAACACCAGAAACCTCTTCATTCCTTCGCATGGCCATTCTTCAGTCTGGTTCAAGATGATTCATTTCTGAGTCCACACACTTTCTTCCTTTCCTCTCTAGTGTGAATCTGGACCAATGCATATAATTTTTTTGTTTCTGTCCTGCTGAACTACAATTTTCATGTGGCCATACCTAATTGTGAAAAAAGACTGAGAAATTTCTTTCTTTTTGTAATTTTATGTCCGCTATAAATATTAATTCTAAAGAAGATTGGAAGAAAAGTTATGAAGGGAGTCCACTAATGTTTGCGTCAGAGAAGATGAGGAGGCATGACATAGAACAGGGCTCAGATCCATTTTCATGGTGTTACTATGAGTCATGGTTGACTTGACAGCATCTAACAAGAACTGTTACTGCCTGACATATTTGTCCTTGACTTCCTTCTTTATAACACACACAAACCCCAATTGCCAAACTTCTTGGCGGTACCTTCAGATCACATTCAGAATTTAATCACTTCTCAGCACCTCAACTGCTACCACATCCGTCTACTAACTCAACGTTTCCCCCGGATTCTGTCTTCTAAATGAACTCCCTGTGTTTTTCCTTACTAATTTACCCAAATCTAAGGGAACTCTGGTGGCCTGGTGGCAAGAAACTGTGCTGCAATCCTGAAGGCACATGGTTCGAGTCCACCAGCTGCTCTGTGGGATAAAAGATGGGCAGCCTCTTCCAGTGCAATTAACTGCCTCTGAAAATGCACCAGAGGGTCGGCTATGGGTTGGTTCTGACATGATGGTGCACAACAACACAGAAGTCACAACAAAGAAAATATTACTCTTATCTAAATTCCCCAAATGTTCCCCTTCTGATTCTAATTTCCTTTGTCCCTGTTATCTCAATGTTTCTTCATCTCCCACTTCTTTTTCCATTCCTCAGTCGGCTTCAACTGTGAGCAGAGCAGTTGGCCTCCTGCTGCTTCTTGAACACCCAGGGGACATCTTTAGTCTGATTCCTTTGCATTTCCTGGGTCCTCTGCCAGGAATAATCTTCCCTTGCTTACTCTCTTAGCTCATTGCTGTTGTTGTTTGTTCCACTTGGCAAGGTATGTTCCAGGTGACAATCCCTTCACTTGTGCACGGAAATGTCTGTTGGCCTTGCCTTTGCCAACAATGGGTATTATTGTTTTCCTCCTCCACCTTTGTCAAATCAGTAGATGAAAGTTATGCCTTTTTGGTTTAAAATATACTTCTAAATTAACATTTCTGCTGAACACTGCTTTTTTTTGCCTTTGAGAGGCTTTAAAACACTTTATATCAACTGCCTGTATCTGTTTGTGCATTGGTGAAGTGGCAAAAGTGATTATTATTAGAAATCATATATGTAAAATGGAAAAAATTTTTCACTGAAATGATTTTTAATTTGATGTCACTTTTCCCCCCTTTAGGTTCAATCTGATGCAGCACAGAATTATACCATCTTATACTCAATAAGTGGACGTGGAGTTGAACAGGAACCTTTAAATTTATTTTACATTGAAAAAGACACAGGAAACTTGTATTGCACTCGGCCTGTTGATCGTGAAGAATATGATGTCTTTGATGTAAGTGGTTTATTAGTTTAGACGAATAAGCTACACTTCTTCTGATACTGCTTCCAAAATTTTTCATTCCACCTTGATAGTCTTCAGAGTACAGGCTATAACATCAAAGGAGAAAAGGAGAATAGGGACATCATGGTTTTGAAACTCTTAGTTCCTTTAGATAAAATTGACATGAAGAAGCAAGGTTTAATTATATTTGAATATAAATTTCAGTAAATTTGCAGGAAGATGGTTTGGCAGTGAGGTATTCTCACTGGTAACTGGTACATTTCCCCCTCTCCAGACCGTGTCCACTGTGGATTAGAAAGGTCTTCTCTACTATTACAATCACTTTTTTCTCTCCCCTTCCCCACCCATAAGTGTGATTCTCTGATAAGGCCTACGTGAGAACTAGATCAAAACAAAGCGAGCCATAGCTGCTGAGTCAATCCTGACTCAACAAGGCTACAGTCTTTACAGAAAGGAGCTCTGTTGGCTTCATGCATTACATGTACTGCTAATTGAAAGTGCAACAGTCCTAATTCACCAGTTGCTCCATGGGAGAAAAATGGGAAGTCTTTTGTAAAGATTGTTGCTGTTGCTAGGAGAGTTAATTTTGACTCCATTTGTATGTTGTTGTTTTTGTTGATTGCCTTTGAGTTGAGCGCGACTCATAGTGACCCTATGAACAAAAGACTTGAAACCCTTCTACATCTATGAACATTTATCAAAGTTCACTGGGTTTCTGGAGGCATGTTGTTTATAACAGGTTAAAAACCTTGCCTGATCCTGTGCCGTCCTCACAGTCTCTATTGTGGATAGGTCCATTGTTATAGTCATTTCATCTCATTGGCGTCTTCCTCTCCTTTGCTCTACTTTTCTAAAAATTTGCAGCCTTGGAAACTTAGTGGAGGGTCACTATGAGTCAGAATCAATTTGACATCAATGAGTAGTTGTAGCAGTAGCAGTAGTAGTAGAAGTAGTAGTAGTCATATTCGTAGTAGTAGTTGCAAACTTTTACAAAAGCAGACTACCATGTTTCTCTTCTGTGGTGTGAATGATGGGATCTAACTGCCTTTCATATACCAGCTAAGCATTTAACAACTTCCTGACATCTGCCTTCCCTGTACTCTGACCTAGGTTTCCTTTGCAATGTAGCCCTTTCTACCAAATGATTTTTTAATTTTTAAAATTTTCACTTTCAAACTGTATTTTAAACCTACCCGTGCCAAGCCATCTCTGTTATCATTTCTTCCACATCACACTACTCCTTCAGCCCTTGAGTCTTTTATTCTGGTTTACTTACAAAATTCTTGATTCTTCTATATGACAACTAAAGACACATTGTATAAACATTATTGCAATGGTTTATTATTGTTGTTGTTGTTGATTGCTTTTGAGTGGAGTAAAATTCCTAGTGACTCCATGAACAAAAGACCTGACGCCTTTCTATAACTATTAACCTTTATCAAAGTTCATAGAGTTTCTGGAGGCATGTTATTTAGGAAGTGGATGTAAAGCTTTGCAAAATAGGTAGCTGGTAATGCATCGTATTCTCTCTTGTAAAAAGCTTACCAGAATGAACTATTTAATTGGTGTTTCCCTCTTTTTTTTAGCTGATTGCCTACGCGTCAACTGCAGATGGGTATTCTGCTGATTTACCTCTACCACTGCCCATCCGAGTGGAGGATGAAAACGACAACTACCCGATCTTCACCCAGAACACTTATAATTTTGAAATTCTAGAAAGTAGTAGACTTGGTAAGACTGCTTCTTAGAATAATACGCATTATATTACCTTAAATACTTCTGTGTGCAATTTTTTAGACATTGTATTTTTTGTTTTCATGCAGGGCAATATCTAGAATATGCTCTGAGTATATGAGTAG